TGTGATAGACTATCACCATTCAAATACATGTACACTTTCAGGTTTTCTCATTTTAGCCTTGGGAAAAATCAGTTACAGCCTATCTGGAAATTTTTACTGATTTCAATTTTACTGGATTAGAATTTCACAAAATTAGATCACTCATATAATTACATGCCACAATCAATAATACACGACACACTTAAATCACAGCACAATTTATACACAAAAATTTTCTACTGCACAAATTTCCTGATTTACGGTAATTTATGGGAAGTATGAATATGCATGAAGAAAGAGCTGGAGCAATAAAGAGGCAAGTGCTCCACAAAGTAACCTGATCATGTGACAGTCATGTGACTAGCTGTCATGTGATTACAATATACATGTACATGTGCACGTACCTTGATAAGTGATTCCTGTTCTGTGGTCTCCACCTAACTCTAGCTACAGAATAAAGTGCATTGACTGAGTATGATTCTTTAGTACGCTGCTGAGCTGTCTGTGTATCATATACCTGTACAATAGATAGGAATAAAAAAAATTGAAGTCATAATCAGCTCAAATATTCTACACTGCATAAATACATCAATATGCATAAGAAAATGTAATAAAAATGGAGTAATTTTGAAGCCATTTTTGAAAAATACCCAAGGCTTATATACTTATGTGGGGTATTTTTCACAATAATTGGAATTGCTTTAAATGGCCGTAACCTGAAAAATTGAAGTCAGAATCAGCTCAAACTTTCTATACAGCATAAGGACATCAATATGTATCAGAAAATATAATAAAAATTGGGGATGTTTTTGGAGCCATTTTTTAGAAAAAACCATGGGCTAGCTATAGCCTTGGGTATTTTCTCAAATTTTGGAGTTTTCTTAAAATGGCTGTAACTCAAAAAATTGAAGTCAGAATGAGCTCAAACTTTCTACACAGCATAAGGACATCAATATGTATCAGAAAATGTAATAAAAATTTGGGGTAATTTCGGAGCCATTTTTTGGGAAAAACCATGGGCTATAGCCTTGGGTATTTTTTCAAATTTTGAAGTTTTCTTAAAAAGGCTGTAACTCAAAAAATTGAAGTCGGAATCAGCTCAAACTTTCTAGACAGCATAAGGACATCAATATGTATCAGAAAATGTAATAAAAATTTGGAGTGATTTTGGAGCCATTTTTTTGGAAAAAACCATGGGCTATAGCCTTGGGTATTTCTTCATATTTTGGAGTTTTCTTAAAATGGCTGTAACTCGAAAAATTGAAGTCAGAATCAGCTCAAACTTTCTACACAGCATAAGGACATCAATATGTATCAGAAAATGTAATAAAAATTTGGGGTAACTTTGGAGCCATTTTTTGGGAAAAACCATGGGCTATAAAAAATACCCAAGGCTATAGCCTTGGGTATTTTTTCAAATTTTGGAGTTTTCTAAAAATGGCTGTAACTCAAAAAATTGAAGTCAGAATCAGCTCAAACTTTCTACATAGCATAAGGACATCAATATGCATCAGAAAATGTAATAAAATTTGAAATAATTTTGGAGCTATTTTTTGGGAAAAAAACATGGACTATAGCCTTGGTATTTTTTTCAAATTTTGGAGTTTTCTTAAAATGGCTGTAACTCAAAAAATTGAAGTCAGAATTAGCTCAAACTTTCTACATAGCATAAGGACATCAATATGTATCAAAAAGTGTAATAAAAATTGGGTGTGATTTCAGAGCCATTTTTTGGGAAAAACCATTGGCTATATAGCCTTGGGTATTTTTCAAAATTTTGCAGCTTTCTTAAAATGGCCATAACTTTAAAAATTTAAGTCAGAACTCAGAATGAGCTCCAACTTTCTACACAGCATAAGAACATCAATATGTATCAGAAAATGTAAATTGAGGTGATTCCGAAGCCATTTTTTGAGAAACTTTAAAAACTTGTAAAACATCCAAATTTGATCGAAATATTTTACACAGCATAAGTACATGTATATGCTGTACTGTACTATAGTACAGGGTGTCTTTTAGGAGGTGCATGACAAATGTCCCTGCTATAGTGTATTGACTATGTCCCCTTTTTTCAACTTAACTTATTTTATAACATGCATTACAAAAAAAATTGCATGCCTGTTCTAACAGTACCCACCCTTGATTACATGGTAATCCTGAAAGAGATCCAAAATTTCAGACAAAATAACTATTGTTTTCAATTACTAATAAACATGAATTGCTATTAGATGTACTGTACTATTACTACCACTCTTGTTATTACTAAAACATAACCATTCTCTGCTTATTTGTCTGCAAACATTGTGACACCATTCTTTAGTAATTTATGGTTTCACATACAACATTCCATTCATTGGACTATAAACAACATTGCGGTATATACATGTACATGTACTACATGCATAACCATGCACATACACTCTATATATAATACATGTGTACAACATACTATGTACATGTACATGTACATGTAAACATAATTCTGCAGGTGTAAATTTTTGCAGATTAAAAATGTTTCTTTTTCCTTGGAGTGTGAATTTATCAACTGCATAATAGTTGCAATAACAATTCAATCTCCGAAAATTTCATTTTCAGGATTTGTGTTACACAAAAAAATCAACAAAAACAAAAATACAACAAAAATTAATCAACATGTACAGTACATGTACAGCATATACCGTATAGCGGGAAATTTTGGAGGGACTAAAATTTGGTGAATTGCTGAATTTTGGTGAATGGTGAATTTTAAAATTTGGCGAATTTGTGGCCACGTGCCATTGAGCATGCGTATAATGGCTCACAATAGCGGATTTTATTTTGGCAAATGCCTATCAAAACGTTAAATTTTATTCCCTCCAAATTTCCTGCTATACAGTACATGTACATGTACGTATACATAAATGGTAAAATGCATGAATGCAGTACATGTACATGTAATACAAGAATCAGTTCTCTCCCTCCCACGGTTATTAATTACTTTCATCATTTTATCTCTTCCTGCTGATACGATCCGATGCTCTTGCTCCAAGTGCCAAGCACAGGAGTAGGCAGGTCCACTGTGAGCATTGATAGTCTTAAGAGCATGATCTGTGTGCCTCCTGTCCCATATCTATAAATAAATATTGAGAAAATATACTGTAAATATACTGTAAATATACTGTAAATATACTGTAAATATATCTGTAAATATACTGTAAATATACTGTAAATATAATATGCATAGACTGTATAAAAGAGTAACTAAAGCTGAAATTGAATGTTTGATAAATCATTAATTCTAATCACCAGTTGGTTAATTCAAGAAATAATTTTGATATAAATCCCACTGCCAATATTCAAGTGAGATATACATACATGTACATGTACACATTGTACAGTAAATTGGATGTGCTAATATCAAGAGTGAATGATTATTGATTGGCTACTACATGTACATGTATAAATGATTGAACAGGTCAATTACTGGTAGTTATCAGTGTAAAATTGATCCTTTTGACAAAAATCAATCAACACTTAATCATATTATATACATGTATAATGCAGATTATCACAGTGGCATGTAAATGTACATGTACATGTACATGTAATGTACAGGTATGTACATGCAAGTATACTATTGGCATATGTCTCATTACCTGACATACACCACTCTCATAGCAAGCAGCAAAAAGATGATCATTGTGATGATTATACTGGAGAAAAAAGGGAGAGAGAAGAGTGTTAATAAAAGACAAAAAATAAAAGGGAAATGAAGATGTACATGTAGACAAGAGAGATTACCCTGAAAAATTGATCTATTTGCATTATAATCTATTATGTGTACATTAGATACTACATATACATGCACATGACAAAATCTCAGACACAAAGAAGCTTTAAAGTTATTGATTGATCACTACAAACACAAACCCACCAACAGTGCAGACAAAAACACAACCACACAAGTTGTTTTTGAAGTTGTACCGTATTTGCCTGATTAAAAACCCAGCTTAAATAAATGCCCATCCTTAAAATATTCTCCCTATAGATGTGCATATTTTAGCCAATTTAGGTAACCTCAACTTTAGATTGTTCCAAATAGCTTAACTCTTGAAGCACAGTCTGATGAGCTAGGGGACATGGGTTCAATCCCTCTTCTGGCAGATTTTTTAAATTTTTACGCAATTTTTTCACTGTCAATGAATAAAAGCCCAGGCTCTAATCAGGCAAATACCGCATGAGGAAACAGAAAGTGTTAAAAATGATAAACTCACTTGAACATCTCTAACACTCTCAGCTCCAGAGTAACGTGATGTGACTGTCTTTTGTCTGGTGTCCTAAGAGAATAGAAAGAACTAATGAAACTAAAGGATAATATAATGTAATGTACGTACATGTACATGTACATTCACACTTAGATGTACATTGTACATGTACATGCACTGACACGTACATGACAAGAGCTCATGTACATGTACAGTGTACATAACCAAGAGTAGACAATAACAAGGGTATACCCTTGATAATACTGTAATTATCCACTCTTGACATACATGTATATTGTAACTCAATTGTGATTGTAGGGAAATATACTCAGTTGGGAAGCTGCGGGATAGAAGCTTGGGTCTTATGCACATCAGAATTATCAAATATGAAAAGCTGAGGTTTAATACCATACAATGTACATGTACTGTACGTGTACATGTACAATTGGAGCTGTTGTATGGATTCTGTTGTTAGTGTACACGTACATGTACATCTTGTGACTGATGGAAAGGTGGATTTACAATACTACCTACGCTAGTACTGATGTTACATTGACGTTAGAATAAAATTTAATTCTATTCTAGCGGAGAGCATGTTTAAAAAATCAAATCCCCCCTGCTCTTGATTAAAAATTGACTATACACTGGTCTAGTATGATATCGTAAAACAGCTTTAAAATGGCGGGTAGGTTGCATTAATACATGCACATGTCTGTATTTAAAATTGTTATTATTATTATTATTGTTGCTGTAATGTTGGTGCTGTTTTTTCCAAAAGTACACATAGTTTACCCACAGCTATTTTTACTGTCATTTCATTTCCCAAAATCAGTATGTACATACTGTATATATACGTGTACATGTAGACCAAATTGGCATATCAAGTAAAAACTCCTAAATCAAACTATCATTGCATGTATATGTACATGTGCTTGGATAGTACTACAGAATGAGCCGAAATGTTAATATTTTATAGCTAGTGTACATTTATGTACATGTACTTGTTTTTTACATGTAAATTACATTTAGATTTATATCATGTACTGTACATGCACACATACATGTATATCTGAAGCTTTGCTTTAAAATTTTATACTCAATTACCACATACATGTAATTCAAAATAATTAATACTTACATGTAGCACATGTACATGTACATGACTACATGTAAACGTACATGTAACAACAGTAGGTGCTGCCATATAGCAGAGAAATTAACCAATTAGGATCAGGTAGACTTTTAAAATTAAATCACACATGTACAAGTCAAGTTGAAAATAATTGCTAATAATTTAGTGTAAAAAAATTCTAGACGAGTAGGATATTTTATTATAATTAATTCTAGTGCAAAAGCAGAATAATTTCACAGGAATTCACACTATTAGAAATTACATGTAATACCATATATTATTTTTGAATTCTATTATTACTCCTTGGCCAAATTATGACTGGAATTAGTTGTAGAAAATGAAAAAAGACTGAGGGCACATAATGTACATGTACATGTACAAATACATGTACAAGTATACCGTATAGTGGGTAATTTTGGAGGGGATTGAATTTGGCAAATTTGGCATTTTGATAGCCATTCAACAAAATAAAAACCCACCATTTTGAGCCATTATACGCATGCTCAATGGCACGTGGCCACAAATTCGCCAAAATTAAAATCCGTCAATTACCAAAATTTAGCAATTCGCCAAAATTTATCCCCTCCAAATTTACCCGCTATACGGTACATGTTAAATAATTTCAAGTTAATTTGAATAGAAAGGATTACTTACAAAACAGACAATAGTACAGTCCTGTGAAGCACTGAGCAACACATTAGCATCTCTGGGATGATAACAAACACGATTCACTGCACGTTGATGGACTTCCTCATAAACATGATCTAATGGAACAGAGTAACAGCAGAATGAATGAATGAGTGAGGGAAGAGAAAAGGAGGAAAAGAGAAGGAAAGAAAGAGGAAGGGACAAATCAAGTCATGTTCAGAGTAGAGTTATTTAATTTACTAGCTATACATGATGGAGGGAGTTTTTATAAGTTAGGCTTATTTAATGAAACTGAGGGAAATTAAGATGACTATAAAGGGAAGGAAACAAAGATGCTCATTATCAAGATAACACAAGTACAATGTACATGCACATGCACTGTATGAATTCATCCCAAAATACATTGTACATGTAACCAGGGTTTCCCATAGGGTTGCCATGCAGCTTCTTGTCTGTTAATTATTAGACCCTGTACTATTATATATGCACATGTAGTACAGGGTATTTTGATAAAAATGACAAGGAGAGAATATTCCCTTTATATATATATTTTTTCAATTACATATACATGTTCCTACCGTATAGCCACAAAGTTTCGAGGCAATAAACTTTCGCGAATCAGGCCACAAGTCTTTTTTCGCGAATTAACTTTCGCGGTTCCTGCTTTAAAGCACACGTGTTTATGGGCAATACGGATATTTCACGGAATTAACTTTCGCGAATACGGAAAATCCGCGAAAACAGCGAAAGTTGTACCCTCGAAATTAAGCGGCTATACGGTATGTTGTGTAGAAAATTTGAGCTAATTCTGATCAAAATTAAATTTTCTATGAATTTTTAAAGTTTCTCAAAAATCGAGCTGATTTGGTCTGAGGCCAAATTTCATCAAAAATGGCTAGAAAAGAATTCTCCATTTTAATACTTTTTCTGATACATATGCATGTCCTTATGTTCTATATCAACTTTGAGCTGATTCTGATAGAATTTAGGTTTTTTATGAATTTTTTTAAATTACTCGAAATGCCGTGTATACATGTAGTTGTAAATTTACAACTTTATATTGAATTGCTACCTCTTAGCTCATGAAGCTCATACTGTTTAGCTCACTTAGCATGCTTTGTGGGAACCCTACATGCAACAATCGACATACATGTAACATACTGAAACTCATAAAACAGAACAACACTATTAATATGCATGCATACATTTTTGTATTTAATACATGTACATGCATGATAAAATGCGCATGTAAAGTGAAGAAGAGACTCACTGAGTTTTGATTTTGTTCTTTTATTGAGATCCCATAAAACTACAGCTGAATTAGTAGGAGCAGTAGCCAGTTGATTCTCTGAAGGAAAAAGAAAGAGAGAGAGAGAGAGGGGGGGGGAACAGGAAGAAGAGGAAGACAATGGTAAGGAAGGATACAACATTATGTAAGGGGAGAATAAGCTTTCATAATTAAACTAGGATAATTATATAATACCAAACTAAGCTATCTCAAATGAACAACAACAATAAAATCTAATAATAATAGTCTAATTGTATTATACCATCTCTTGGATTCCACTGAACATGGTTACTAGAGAAATTCAAATTTAACTGCTTCTGTGGCAAATTTCTCAAATTGCAGACTTCCTTGAGTTGATCGGTTGTGTCACAAATAATGAATACTAGAAAAATAAAATAAAGAGAACATAAATGTGAATATGCATGTGTACATGTACATGCAAGATACTTGAATGAAAGCATCAAATATGAGCATTACATTATACATAATAGTACAATACCAATACAGCTGAGTACTCATATTTCTTAAAATGAAAACATATACTAATTACTAACTGGGCTATAGTGGTTATATGTATTTTCAATGGTTAAAAAATAATTATGGTGTAATATACATGTATACATGTACATGTACACATGCATACATTTTTATTTTCGTTCCAGAACACAAAATTTGTACAATTAAAACCCTCCCACTATAAAGCAACATGTCTCATACTAATTACAATTAATTATAATACTTTTTCTGCCAGCTACAGCGACCCTCGTCCCATCTTTATTGGCACATATTGTATTTGCTGGAGAGCTGAGATTAATGGTAACCTTTTGATTCAATTGAGGACCCCCTCCTCCTATAAGAGGATCTAATAATTAATGGGAACATTAAATACACTCACTTCTCATAATAAGAGAACTCATTTCTGTAGTGACACTGTGACACACCTTTAATTAAGTGAGACTACACCCACTACACGAACCACGCCTACATTAAATGAGAAAGATGAATTCGCTGTTCGCTGTTCTTCTTTCTTGTTTTATATTCGTTTGCATTGAGGCTCACGTTTGTCTCATCTTCCCTCCACAAAGAGGAGGGATACCCGATGCTGTATTCACATATGCCGGCAAGTTAAAGTGGATTGCAAGTTTAAAACAAGCTAAAAATCTTAATCTTTTTTCCAGGTGACATAACATGTCTACACGTTCTAAAAGCTCCTTGTGGTGGTATGGCAGCTGAAGACCCCAAAGTGTCGTTCAAGTATGTACATGTACATGTACACACTTCCTTGTGGGCTAGCGATTTGGGGATTAGTTATAACTTGTAAGGTTTAGAATCTTACAACTGGGAAAGAATCATCATGACCATAGATAAAGTGTGTATTATTAATGCTGTAACTTTGATGCAATTGGTTTCTAATGTACTTACGTATGCAACAATGCGAGCCCAATGTAATGTCACTTTATTGTTCATTTATTATTATTATTATTGTAGGGCAGGACAAAATGGTAGTCTTTCGATCCAAAAGAATCTTGATCACTACTATGCTAGCAATCCGGTATGTAGATAGTCTCGTAAGACATAAAGTTTTCAATTGTACAATAGTTTGTATTTGCTAAAAAGAATAACATGTTATACCCACAACAGCTTTTTTAGCTATTCCAGTATAAATTATTCTATTGTATTGATACACATTAAATAATCAGATAGAAAAAAAACTGCACTAAAGCTGAGTGTACATCACTAACTACATGTATAACATGCTACAATAATAATTATTATTAGTCACTATAGACCAGTTGGCGCTGCTAAGTATGTACATAGAATTTTAAGTATATTCTTTTTGATACCGTAAATAAAGTAAAATTTTCCTACCTTCATTTTGGAGTCATAGTTTACTAAGAGTGGAATGGGAGAAAGCAATATCGTTGCTTCTATAGGTCCTAGTGGCACTTATTAAAGTCCATGAGCCAACTGGTATGATGATTTGGTTTCAGTTTAGTAACAGGGCCTATTTTCTTACTACAATTGAAAGTGAATGCTTATTATTCAGTAAGTGCTGCTTGTACTTACTCTAATTTTCTTTCCTGCTTTGAATGCTTTGACCTTGATAGGATTGTACTTATTACACCTCCTATTACCCGGGGAAATTACTTATTAAACCTCTTAGTGGTAAATAAAAGTTATTTATGAACCTAAAATCAAGCAATCTGATTGTTCAATTACAACTAGGCATGGTAGAATTGGAATTATTAGTGCCTAGTGCAGGTTTCCAACGGAATTTAGCATAGTGCTTATTTTCTGATGCAAATGGAAATTTTGAAATAATTCTAATAAAAAATAGATTTTTTTGTAAATTTTTTAAGTTGCTAAAAAATCTGTACTATAGTACAGGTCAAATTTTGCCAAAAATGGCTTGGTGAAATTTCTCTATTTTTATATTTTATTCTAATGCATGTGAAATTTCTCTAATGCATATACATGTCCTTATGCTGTGTATTAACTTTGAACCAATTCCGATCAAATTTGGATTTTTTTATGAATTTTTGAAGTTCCTCAAAAATTGGACCAAAATCCCTGTACTATAGTACAGGGGACTTTGGCTAAATTTAGCCAAAAATGGCTAGGTGAGGTTTCTCCATTTTAATAATTTTTTCTTATACGTAGCCAATTCCGATTAAATTTGAATTTTTTATGAATTTAAAAAGTTGCTATTAATACCATGTACATGTACATGCAGTATTATAATGTATTATAGTGCTTGTCAGCTCATGAAGAATGCTGTTTAGCTCATTTAGCATGCTTTGTGGGTAATCCTCCATGTACATGTACATGTAGTACAAGGGCAAAACACTTAATGCAGCTTCATTAAAACATGTAAACATTAATTTGTACATTCTGTACACATTCATGTCATCCCTGTACCAAAATTAATCAGATAGAAAAACACTGCAATCACTACATGTACATAGCTACGTACAATGTTACAATGTTGCTTGCATTTCAAATTAAGTAATTGGGCCCATTTTCTCAGTTTGATTGAAAGTAAATGCATATTCTTTAATGTTCAGTACTACTTACTCTGATTTTTCTGCTTTGATATTCTCTGACCTTGATACGATAATAAATTAAATATTTATCATTATCAGTACCTAGTGGTGCCATTATTATTATCACTGTTAACATACATGTACTCTAATGTTGCTTTAGGGGTATTGGGGAGTTTATCTGTGGACAGGAGGCGCAAAAAGAGGTAAATATGTTGGTGGATTCCCTGACACAGCTGATTTCAAGACTTTTGATACCAGATCTGTCGATGCTATGATTCCAGCTGACACGTAAGACTGGTTATTGAAAGTTTTAACATTTATTTATTCTCTCTTCCTTTCCTATCTCATTCTCTCTTTTAAACTACTTTTGTTTTTAGACCCACAGGGAATGCTTTTATACAGGTAATAATTTATAGGTCATCACACTTACTGTACATGTATATTATCGTTATAATTCTTCTTAGGTTATTTATGCTCCTAATAATCCTGATACTCCCAAGATGTTTTACCAGTGTGCTGATATAAAAATTGAATGATTATATCCTGTGATGCGATAATCAATAAATTTCCTCACTTTATCTTGTTATACTGTATAAAATTTTAACTGTTTTTTACTCTTTTTTGTATTTATGATTGTCTGCTGCAGAAAAAATTGGAAGTCATTAAAATTAATTAATATCTATAATTTGAAACTATACGGTAGAAAAAATTCCTTAAAAACAGATGCTTGCTTATTGCTTTGCTATTATAATTTCTTCCATCAGGAGTGTGGCAGATCATCATGTCTTTTGAGCACAATTTCACTACAACTGGAAATGTAAATGGCCCAGCCCTCTCTGCTGTCCTTGCTCTTGAAACAGTGACAGCTTTCATAGCTAATACAGTTGTTCTCTCCATCACTCTCTACCAAAGAAAGTCCTGGAAGCAGTCATCAACAATATTCTTCACTTCTCTCATCCTCTCGCATCTCGTGATGGTGTTCCTCTACCTGCCACTGTGTGTCATAGCTGTAGCTGCCGAGGAATGGATATTTGGCAGCACCTTTGAACAGCAGATTGCAACCTGCTCGTTTGCAGCATACGTCATATGGTATTGTGTGCTGGTCATACAAATGACACTTGCCATCATATCATTTGATCGATTCCTATTCATTGTCAAACCACGCATTCACAAAAGACTCATGAGGCCATGGACAGCCCTGGCATTTACTATTGGAATTTGGATACTTGCAGCAATACTCAATAGTGGCCCGTTTGTTGGGCTAGGGGAGTATGAATATGATGATACGTATGGTTCTTGTGTGCCGCTGTGGCAAGGTAACAATGGGTATGTTCTTTACATGCTTATAATCTCCATGATATCAATCACCATCATACTCATTACATCTATTTGGACATTCTGTTTCACTCGGAGGTTTATCAACGACCAGTCACAAGTATCGGGTGACAGTGTTTACGTCTCAAGGAAAAAGAGACTCTTTGGGATATTTGGATCAATGCTACTTGTTTATGGTATATGCTTTTTACCATCAATAATAAGTGGAGGCATAACAACGGTGGTCATTCTTCCAGATCCAGTATACGCTGTAAACATGGTTACCTTTCAGTTCATCACAGTTGCCAGTCCACTCGTTCAGTCCTATTTCAGACCAGATATAAAGGCTGCCATTATATCTTTCTTCGCACTATTTGCTCCAGCTTTAAAGAAATGGCAAGGGCTGACAAGTAGAAGCCATGAGACTTCAACCTCCCTTCCTGCATGAACAGTGAACTCTTTATAAACTGCAATTATAGTTGTTTTGTATATTTTACACAGTCACAACAAAAACTAGCTGTCAATTACTGTCTTGTATACAATAGGATGCCATTCAAGATAAATCATGCGCCACTATTATTGTGAAATATATTTGTTATACAAACACACCCAGTGAATGCAAACATGTAAAAGGTAGTGTAGTGTGTTTTTTGGCACAGGTTTGGAATGCTGCTTCCTTCATTGTAAGCAAATTAGGTTAAGCACAAGCATGCTTGTGTATATGTATGTACAATTATTTGTTAATAATGTTCATTGTTCACATGATGGTATCTGTATATAGTGTGAGACACAAAATTAATAATTGCTTGTCATCATTGCATGCATTAAATTTACCAAAATTAGAAACACTCACTCTCTTTTGTGGAGTATCTATATTAGGGCAAAGTTTTATCAGCTTATAGGATGGAATGTTTGGACTAGCTCATGCATCTGCATTGTTCATCTTTTTATGGAACTCTCTTTTGGCAAAGCTAAGGACATAAATGTGAATTAATTTTCACTAATTAATACAACTTTAAAGATGAAAGATTGTTAACCACAGTGTTAATTGCAGATAAATCATAAACCACATCCACTGATCCACATTTGCTAATGTGCAACCTGCAAACAACGAGCATGAGCCAAAGAATGATAATTCAGTGAACCTATACTACTCTAAATACTGATAGATCTGACTTAAGAAATATATATTTAGCAATAGGGTACCTCTTGCATATAGCCTGTTTTATTCATGTATTATCAGATGCTGAGATGCATGGCATCTGGCACAATAGTGGAAGGGAATACCCCACTGCCCACTCTAAAATATAATAGCCCTCTGCGCACGTGAGACTCAATAACTGCAGCTCCTATTAAAGGCCTGGGGTAACGTGGGGGTTTTGCATTTGGTTGGTAGATCTTCCTCTCCTCTTAGAAATGTCTAAGCAAGTCGTCATCGTAGGTGCAGGTTTAAGTGGGACGACAGCAGCCTCTTACCTGACCCAAGCTGGTGTCCCTGTCAAGTTATTCGAGGCACTGGATCGTGTAGGTGGAAGAACCTACACCGTTCCACCCCCCGAAAACTGCTCGGGTCCTGTGGATCACGGTGCTGGATATGTTGGTAGCACTCAAACTGCAGTGAAGGCTCTTCTACAGGAGCTGAATGTTGAGACTCATGAAGTCCCTGGGGACGGTTTCTTGTACACCCTCAGCTGGGGTGGAAATGTCTATTACATGAAAAACGTTCTCCCTGATCTTTTCAAGTATTTGGCCTGGTACGAGAGCGTTGCAATCTGCCTTGCTATTATTGATATGTACTGGAAGGGAATGAGCATCAATACTGAAGAACCGTGGAATTCACGAAACGCCGATGAATGGGACAACATGACTGTACAGAACTGGATTGATACTAAATTCCCTGGAAGCAAGTTTAGCAATGCTAGGACCATTTTCCAGTTTGTTTGTCGTATCCCTCTCGGGGTAGAAGCCTCCGAAACCTCATTTCTATATTTCCTTTGGTATTTCAAATGTGGTTCGGGTTTTTATGATTTGCTCTTTCCTGCACAGGACAGGATCGTGGTTGGAGGAACACAGCAGTTAAGTGAGAAAATAAATGCAACACTACCAAAAGAGTCTCAAGCCCAACTCAAAACACCAGTGCTTGCAATGGATAACAATGATTCTTCAAAAGTTGTCATTACTCCAGCAGGTAGTAGTCAAATTGAGGCTGAGCGTTGCATTCTAGCCATGACCCCTCATACTCGTGATTACATTGCCTTCAACCCACTCCTCTCTCCAATGTATCATCAGTTACCACAACGTACTCCCATGGGTACTACTATTAAAATACACCTTTTCTACAAAGAAAAATTTTGGCTTGTTGACAAAAATTTGAATGGAAATGCAACCATTTTTGATGGTGATAGCATCAGTCAAACGTATGACTGTACAGCCCCAGGAGGGACCCCTTGCCTTCAGGCATTTTACGTTGGTAAAGTTGGACGTCGTATGGCTATGATGGACCGTAAGGCTAGGGAGGCGGATGCTAAAAAAACAATTGGTAAAATTTTTGGAGAGAAAGCCAATGATAGCATTGGATACAGTGAATTCATCTGGGACAATCATCCATGGATTGGTGGGGCCCCTACTGGTACCTGTGCTCCTGGTACTCTTACATGCTATGGGAATGCAGTCCGTGCCCCAACTGGAAGGATCCACTTTGCATCCACAGAAACAGCATATGAGTGGACTGGGTACATGGATGGTGCTATCAGGGCTGGGCACAGAGCTGCCTCTGAGGTTCTTAAGGAACTCGGAAAACCAGAACCAAAGCCTCTCCCACCTGTACCTGTTGAGCAGATGCGTAAAGATGATGTGGATAAGTTGAAGCTCGTTGTTAATTTCACCAGCCAAAGTGTTCAGAAATGGTAAGTGGCTTGTGTATAGTAGTGTCTATAGGTTTGAGGTTAATTACATACACAATGATTAGATTATCATATTTATGACAGCTGTCTTCTCCCCTGCTTACAACTTACATGCATGCCAGTGATTTTAAAATTGTATTTTTTAATGTAGGAAAATCCAGATATCAAATTTAAACGTAGCAAGTAACGCTGCAGTTGCTCAGAACGCCACTACTAAGGAGGTAACTGATAGAATAATAATTTTACAGCAATCAAATTTTTTCTCCTGTCCAACTTTTAGGCTCAACAATTCTTGGCCACGCAGTTTCAAAACTCAAGTGAAGAGTTGAAGGATTACATTAAAGAGAATAAAATGCAGGCCGATGATCTCATAACTGGTTTGAAGATGCTTCAGGAAAGTGTTTCCAATCCTAATATGCTGGCAGCCTGAAAGGTGAAATGGATGTAAAAAAAACTTCTTGGACTTATTAAAATACTGTTAATTTTAATACATAGTTTTAGAATTTGGCATTGTAGGCTTAGTTACTTTTCTAATAATTTTGCATTTTTTTGTAGCAACTTGTTATCAAAATATTATAATTATAGCTATTTCTTGTAGCTTTATGTTTAAAATTTTTGACCCATAACTGAACGTATAACACTGCTTCCAAATAAGATAAAAACCCTCTATACAGTGAATGTCATTTATCCATGATTAATGTATCACACAACAAAAGAAATTTCTTTTATAATGCAGGGTTTTATACAGGATTTTGCCATAGTGTTCATGCAGCTTCTTGTCAGTGGATTGTCAAATTGCTTTAAAATTAGGCCAAAAATTGAAGGGAAAAAATTCACCATTTATATTTATTTCTGATACATGTTCATGTTCTAAAGTTGTTTAAAAAATTGAGTTGATTCCAATCAAGCTTGGATTTTTTATGAATTAAAAGTTGCTCAAAAATTGGACTATTGACCAAAGGCTATCCTTTGGTCTTTGGACAAATTTCATCTAAATAGCTAGGAAAGAATTTTTCATTTTTGTCATTTTTTGAGATGAGTCTGATCAAGTTTATATTTTGTTATGAATTTTTAAAGTCACCGTGACTTTAAATGCTTGTAGCAGCCAATGAAGCATGCTGTTTAGCTCACTTAGCATGCTTTACGGGAAACCCTGGTGTAACACACAGGCAAAAAATATTTATCCCAAAAGTTTTAGCTGCAGTGAATAATACAAAAGCATAATAAATGGATTCAGAGTGGTATGATCAATGAAAAAGATGTTTTTATCAAAGGAACTTTGTTATCATCAGCGCAATTGTCATCATCAATGCTAGTGATTCTTGTACTCTATTTGAATAATGTTGCAGGCGTACACAAGTTGTCCTTTATTGTCCTTGATGAAAAGCCTACACACATTGACAATACCTCCATATATATAAATATCAATAAATACAATACCAGTTATTATAAATACAAATACATACTACATCTTAAATGCTCCAGGCCTGATCAGCAATGTGGTCATTTAACATTTTTGTTTGATACTTTAAGTGGAAATTATTGGAAGGGCCCTGGTGCAGATCAGGACCTAGTGTTTTTACACATTCATTGTTAAAATTTGAACACAGCTGTAATAGCTACTCTGTAGGCCTATAGGGTAGGCCTCACACTATGGTTTTATTTTCAATGTTTTTACTGAATAACCACCAGTAATCACGTGGGGAGTCACCTAGCCTGCTCAAGTCCTCTCACTAGAAGACATGTCTAATTATAAGCAGCGTGTCCAGTATCTATGGCAGAGGCCCAAGCCAGTCGTTGTCGTAGGCGCAGGTTTAAGTGGCATGACAGCAGCCTCTTACCTGACCCAAGCTGGTGTCCCTGTAAAGTTATTCGAGGCACTGGATCGTGTAGGTGGAAGAACCTACACCGAGCAAGATAAGTTGGGTCCTGTGGATCACGGTGCTGGATACATTGGTAGCACTCAAACTGCAGTGGAGGCTCTTCTAGAGGAGCTGAATGTTAAAACTCATAAAGTCCCTGGGCCTGATTTACTGTACACGCTCAGCTGGGGTGGCAAAGTCTATTATATGGAGAACGTTCTCCAAGAACTCCTTCACGACCGTTTGGAGTGGCAAGAGAGTGCTGCTATCACTCAAGCCATTGGTGACATCTATCAGAAGGGAGAGATAATTAGATCTGAGTCTGGTGATCCGTGGAACTCAAAAAATTCCGAAATTTTGGAATGGGACAAAATGACCGTGCAAAATTGGATTGATTCCATGTTCCCTCGTATCGGAAACAAGTTTGACAATGCTAGGACCATTTTTCAGTTTATTTGTCGCATCCCTCTTGGAGTGGAGGCCCATGAAACCTCGTTCCTGTATTTCCTTTGGTATTTCAGAAATGGATCAGGTCTAGTGCAGTTACTCTTTCCTGCACAGGACAAGATCGTGGTCGGTGGAACGCAGCAGTTAAGCGAGAAAATGAATGCCCAACTCCCAAAGAGGTCTCAGGCTCAACTCAATACACCAGTGCTCTCTATTAATAATGACGATTCTTCAAAAGTGGTCATTACTCCAGCAGATGGTTATCCAATTGAGGCTGAGCGTTGCATTCTAGCTATGACCCCTCATACTCGTGATTACATTGCCTTTAGGCCACTCCTCTCTCCAATGTATCACAAGCTACCACAGCGTACTCCCATGGGTACTACTATTAAAATACATCTTTTCTACAATGAAAAATTCTGGCGTGTCGGGAAAAAATTGAATGGAAATGCAACCATTTTTGATGGTGATAGTATCAGTCAAACGTATGACTGTACAGCCCCAGGAGAAACCCCTTGCCTTCAGGCATTTTATGTTGGTGAAGTTGGACGTCGTATGGCTATGATGGACCCTGCTGCTAGGGAGAAAGATGCTAAAGCAACGATTGGTAAAATTTTTGGGAATCCAGAGAAAGCCAATGCCAACATTGGATACAGTGAATTTATCTGGGAAAATCATCCTTGGATTGGTGGGGCCCCTACTGGTACCTGTGCTCCTGGTACTCTTACATGTTATGGGAATGCAGTTCGTACTCCAACTGGAAGGATCCACTTTGCATCCACAGAAACAGCACAAGATTGGACTGGGTACATGGATGGTGCTATAAGGGCTGGGCACAGAGCTGCCTCTGAGGTTCTTAAGGAACTCGGAAAACCAGAGCCAAAGCCTCTCCCACCTGTACCTAATGTTATTAATGATGACTTGAAGATGTTGAATGACATGGTTAATGCCACCAATGAAAAAGTTAATGATTCTGCAAGGTATGAGCTATGCATAATAATAGATAGACATTGTATTGTGCTGTGCAATATTTTCTATTTCAGTGGGTTATAGATTTATCATGGAAAAAAAATTACGTGTAGCATTGTTGAGTTTTAGACTGTAAAAATTTTGGAGTGGAATTAACCTTCAAAATTAATTTTCCATTAAGTCTGTCCACAATAATAACTTACTAACCACATTTTAACATCAGTCTCATGAATGTCATCATTATGTTATTTTATAGGGAAACAAAGAACAACCAAGTACGTGTTTGTAGCTACTCACCTGGCCTTCGTATTACTACAATAAATTCACCTGGTTCAAATCCTACGATACGTATCTCTTCATCTTTTCAGAGACCCTCTGATATGGAACAGGTAGATGAGACAATTGTTGTTTAACTTGTAAGATGGTTTTTTTTTATTTTTCTTTTATAGGCTCAGCAATTTTTAACTCAGCGGTTTGGGAACTTAAGTGTTGGGTTAGAAAAATTTTTTTCTGCTAATAAAAGAAAAGACAAAGGCCTCATAGCTGGTTTAAATAAGCTTCAGGAATCTATTGCTGCTATTGGCTTACAATGACCTGTATCCATAGAATAATTTATTGACTTGTCAAAAACTAATTTTTGTATAAATCATTAGTTGTTGTTTTGAGGTTATTAAAATAATGTTAGTCTCAAATGAAAATTCAAATTTTTCAAAGTTTCAAATGTGCACTGTATAATTTACTGCAATGTCAAATACCTAAAGCTATAGCCCATGGTTTTTCCAAAAAATTGTTCCAAAATCACCCCAAATTTTTATTATATTTTTTGATACATATTGACGTCCTTATGCTGTGTAGAAAGTTTGAGTTGATTCCGACTTAAATTTTTCGAATTACGGCCATTTTTAAAATGAGCCAAAATCTGAAAAATGCCCAAGGCTATAGGCCATAGTTTTTTCCAAAAAATGGCTCCAAAATCACCCCAAATTTTTATTACATTTTCTGATACATATTGATGTCCTTATGCTGTGTAGAAAGTTTGAGCCAATTCCGATACGAAATTTTTGAGTTATGGCCATTTTAAAAGCAAATACTAGCTATAATACTGTGTATATGTAACTTCATACTCACAACTGCACACTTCATTGCCTAATGCTCATGTCATTTGAAAATCATAAACAGCTGAAACCGCTGATGCTAGCAGTTATGGCAGTCAAATCTGCTACTGTGTGTGAACATGCAGCCTAAATAAGGACCCCCTATAGTAGTATCAGTCCCAATCCAATATAAAATTTGTATTAATGTATGAACTACTAAAGTAACAACACTTTCGGTTCAGAATAGACACATTTAACTGTATTTACATAACTATTTAAGCCATGCAACGGTTTTGCAGCCATTTGTTCAGACAAATTTTCTTTTGATTGGCTACATTATAATGGATTAATGGTATACAAGTATTATGTGAGAAACTATTGTCTTTAGATTAGTAAAATAATACAACTGCTTTACAGACACAGCTAGGGCAAATGGACTGAAAATCTCAGGAGATTTTAAACAATCAAATTATTTGTGTTAGTAATTATGCAAGTGGGATTTGTACAATAATGGAGTATTTTATGCAGTAAATGTAACTGCTTTTATTATGTGCATTTTACATAGCATGTGATTTTTGCCATATTGTAATGAGCCCTGCTGATTATTCTAAAGAGCAAGTATGCTAGAGCTTCCTGTGTTTAATATTTACAAGTAATCAAATAAAATAATGTACATCTACTGAAATTGAAATGTAATAAGATAAGCTGGATAACTTTTGTCATGATCATATACAATGTAGACTCGAGAAGAACCAGTCACACCATTTACACTATCATACAAACTGCCATCCTTTTTCTTTGGTGGAGCAAATAATGTTGAATCACGTTCCATTCTTATGCTGTTGCCAGTTAAAACAAAAGCTATGAAAATCTGTCGATATCTTTCAGGAGTTCGAAAAGCATAAGAAACCCCAGAGTAGCTGGCATTAACAGCAAAATAAGCTCCTTTTCCCCACAAGCTAGAGTCACCACTATAACGAAAATCAAAACCATGCTCTGATTCATAGATTACTTCTGGAGAAACTTCACTGCTTCCGTGAAATAACCATTTCTCATTCACCTCACCACCATTCTTCTCGTGCATTCTCCTCTTGCAGAGGGCATATTTATGATACAAATATTTGTTTTGTATCCTCTGAACTTTAATAATTTTTGCCTCCTTCATTGTCTTCTTGACAGCATTCACTACCTTAAGCCACTCTGAAGAACTCGATTTAGCAGTAACTCTTTTCAGCTCAGTATTATCAGTTTGTGGCTCCCATTCTGAAGGTAAAAGTGGAGTAAACTTAAGACTGTCTCGTTTCTCTTCCAAAACAAGAAATACTTTTGTCAAATAGTCACGACAACCAGACACAATGATCTTATCATCCAATGACGAATCCACTTTTACACAAAACGACCTTGCTAATTTAGTGATTGGCTCAACAATATCGATACTGCAGCCTGTCAGTGATTTCTTGATAACCATCTCTTCTAATATCTCGTTCAAACCAGCTATAGTAGTTTTAACATCGTCTTCTAAACCACGACAGGATAGACACAGTGATGACGGATCGACACGTTTAATTTTACGTTGCTTTTTTGTTGTGGTATTTATTTGAACCATCTTATCAAAATTATACTTGTACTGCCACCTCCTTCTGCTGTAGTGAGGATGAACTAGCTTATGATGACTTAGCGGTCCAAGATACTCTTGATAGAGTTTTTCAATCTCAGCAGAGTCAGTAGCACTCATTAGTGTAAACTTCTGATTGTCGTCAAAAAATGACCAAGAGACAGCGTCAGCACCAGATAAATATTCAGAAATACTCTCAACGGTTAATGGATAAGAACTGGAGGACATTGCACTGGCTATAGTGTTGGAGAAAGCAGCAATAGACTTAGTAGAACCATTAGGCAGAATTACCTTAAACTCTACATCAAAATGTTGCTGAATGGCTTGAAATACTTCAAGATTTTTTAATAACGGTATGAACTGACAATTGAGATACATTGATTTTGAAATGATTTGATCTTGAAGCTGCTTCATGTATAATCGCACTATACTTTCGGCAATATCTACTTTATCCTTGTCACCAGAAATATGAATACCTCTTCCATCTTTTGAGGCCTTAGTAGTCACTATACTGGATAAATGGTCCTCCAATTTATGAAATTTGCGAATTGTAATTAAGTTGACAAGCGAGTCATCTTCATCTGTGACCAATTTTGAACTTTTTTCGATTAAAGCTGGTAAAGAGGGCTTGTTACTGAGTTTGATGCTTACAAGTGTACCATCAAAATTCACCTTGTTAGGGATACAGGCAGCCTTTGCTTCTTCACTTGACTCAAACTTAACATATGCATAGTCAGGTTTTCCTGGTATTATGGCAGGAGTTTGAAGTACATCACCAAACTGACTGAAATATTCCTCTAGAGCCTCACCTGTAACCCCACGACCACTAAGTGTTACTTTAACAGTTGACGTTTCTACTTGCTGTGCTTGTGGAGAAACAGTGTGGGGAGAAGAACCGTGATGGTGTGTGATGACGGAGCGACAATGAGGAATAGAACTAGTCGTTTTTTTATAATCAGAATGTGGCTGGCTTTGAATTGATGATTCCTTTAAGTTGACTTTGGGGCATTGCCCATAAAATTCCACTTTTCTTAAAGACTCCATTGCTCTTTCTGCACCTCTTAGTGACAAAAAATTGACATAAGCATGTCCCTTATTAACTTTAAGACTTTGGTAATCTGAATAGCTACAACAAGTATGCTCCATTTCCTTCTGGGTTACATGTAGCGAAAGATTTGTCACTTTCAGAGTGTATTGCTCTTTTGTAGGAGTACTGTCTTTCCATTTACATACCACACTCACAATGGAACCAATAACTGTTGTACCATCTGTATACCTCACGGCCCTTTCGGCATCACTTTCAGTTTCATAGGTAATGAGAGCGTAAGATTCCTTAGTGGCGGGTATGATTTTGTAACTGGAAATGACCCCAAATCGGTTATAACATCTCAGTAGTTCTCTTTCATTAGCACCTCGAGGAAGATGGTTTACTTTAATGGTGTACTGTTGTTCTGGTAATTCTGCACAAAGGCTAGCACTGGGCTTCGTTGTAATAGATTTTGGTCTAATTTGTACAGATACGTTTCTTTGTCGAGGGGACCCTGGCTTTCTTTTATCAGTAGAAGTACTTCCCGGTCTGCGCTTCTTCATTTTTGTTGATAGCAAATTAGCCGAACCTCTGAGGTGTTTCCCCAGTAATAGCGTCATTATGACAATGGGAAGGTACATTAATATTATTGCTATAGCTATAATGCATCACATAAAGATTGAAATGGTGACAAAAATATTATTTGAAACTTTTCAGAAATGAAATTTCTTTAACACCTTTGGGATTTTCTCTAATAAAAAGAGAGAGAAAGGGACAAAATAGATTGAATATTCCATCAACACACTAGCTGACCATACAATCAGCTACCGATGTTCATGTAGTCTACCATACATATGTAATATTGCTTCCACAATAGATAAATTTTCAGTTTTAGCATCAATTCTCCCTCAACACCTCTCCAAATGATCACTTAATGCTAATTAATATGCATCAATGCCATCACACCATTTTACGTGTGTGGTATATCATCCAATTTATGGCAACAAGAACATAAAATTTCCACTGTATCAACAAGTGCGGCATTAAAAGGCTTCAGACAAATGTTTTGTGATAGATTGACATGTAATTAATTGTATTATGCACCTTATCATAATTATTTTTTAGATCAGCATAATCTGTACTGCTGTACAATAAATCATGTACTACACAGTCTACAAAAATACTACTGTACCATATTAAACTGCTCTACAAACACAGGGCACAATCCCCAGGAGATTTTTAATAATTAAATTATTTAATGTGTTAGCACTGAATTATGCAAGTGGTTTGTATATCATAAACATTTTACATAGAATGTGGTCTTTGCTAATACCAGGCTCTAAGTCTTCAAAAGAGCAAGCAATAATTATAGTGAGGCAGCTAGAGCTTCTTACATTTAATTTTTACAAAATAATTATTTTAATCAAGTTAATTTATATGTATCATTACAAAACATCTACTGAAATGTAATAAGATAAGCTGGATAGCTTTTGTCATGATCATATACAATATAGACTTGGGAAGAACCAGATAGACCATTTACACTGTCATAATCTCCACTGCCATCCTCTTTCTTTGGTGGAGTGACTAACGATTTATCACTTCCCATTGCTTTACTGTCACCAGTTAAAACAAAGGCTAAAAATATCTGTCGACCTTGGGGAGAATTAAAAGCATAGGAACCCCCAGAGTAGCTGGCATTAACTGCAAAGTACGCTCCTTTCCCCCATAAGCCTTGACCACCATAACGAAAATCAAAACCGTGCTCTGATTTGTAGATTCTTTCCGGAGAAACTCCTCTGCTTCCGTGAAATAACCATTTCTCATTGACTTGACCATTATTCTTTTTGTGCATCCTTTTCTTGCAGAGGGCATATTTATCATACAAATATTTGTTTTGTATCCTCTCAATTTGAACAATTTTTGCCTCCGTCATGGTTTTCTTGACAGCACTCTTGACCTTAACCCACTCGGAAGAACTTGGTGTAATATTTTTTAGCTCAATATCACTGGTCTGTGACTCCCATTCTAGAGGTCTAGGAAGTTTGTCTTGTTTCACTTTTTCTTCCAATCGTTTCTTTTCCAAAGCAAGAGATACTTTTGTTATATAATCACGATCACCAGAGAAAAGGATCTTATCATCTAATAATGGATCCACTTTTATGCAAAATAATCTTGCCAATTTAATGATTGGCTTAGCAATATTGGCACTGCAGCCTTCAAGTGTTTCCTTGATAATCATTCCTTCTAATTTCTCATGCAAACTGGCTGTAGAAGCTCGAACATCTTTTTCTAAACCATGACAGGATAGACACAGCGACAATGAATCGATTATGCGTTGCTTATTTGTTATGGTGTTTACTTGAACCATCTTATCAAAATCATACCTGTACTTCCACCCCCCTCTGATATAGGAACTTGGTGTTTGCGATCGAAGATACTTTTGATAGCGTTTTTCAATTTCAGCAGAATCGGCAGCACTCATAAATGTGAACTCGTGATCATCAAAAAATTTCCAAGAGACAGCACCAATGTCAGATACATATTCAGAAACACTCTCAATCTTAAATGGAGAAGAACCAGAAGACATCAAACTGGATATAGTGTTGGAGAAGGTAGCAAGAGATTTAGTAGAACCATTAGGCAGAATTACATTAAACTCTACACCCAGTTGTTGCTCTATGGTTTGAAATACTTGAGGATCCTTTAATAATGGTATGAATTGACAATGGAGATACATTGACTCTGAAATAATCTGACCTTGAAGATGCTTCATGTATGATCGCACAATACTTTCGGCCTCGTCTACTTTATCCTTGTCACCAGAAATACGCACACCTTTTGAATCTTTTGAAGATTTGGCAGTCACTGCACTAGACAGTCGGTCCTCCAATTCATGAAGCTTGCACGTAGTAATTACATTGACGAGCGAGTTATCTTCAAATGTAACCAGCTTTGAACTTGTTGAAGCTGGTGCCTTGTTACTGAGTTTGATGATCATTACTATACCATCGAACTGCACTTTGCTTGGGTTACAGGCAGCCTTTGCTTCGTGACTTGTCTTAAAATTAACATATGCGTAGTCAGGTTTTCCTTGTATTATGGCAGGAGTTCCGCATACCTTACCAAACTGACCAAAGTATTCCTCTATGGCCTCACCTGTGATGTCATGACCACCATGAAGTGTTACTTTAAGAGTTGTCGTTTCTACTTGCTGTGCTTGTAATTGTGGCAGAGAAACGGTGGGAGCAGGAGAATGAGATGTGAATGGCCGATAAGGAGGGATAGAACTTGTTTGTCCATAATGAGAATGTGGCTGGCTTTGAATTGTGGGTTGCTTTTTGTGCAGTTTGACTGTGGGGCATTGCCCATTAAATTCCACTTTTCTTAAACATTCCATTGCTCTTTCGGCGCCTTTTTGCGATAAAAAATTGACGTAAGCATAACCCCCATCGTTAACTTTAAGACTTTGGTAATCTGAATAGCTACCACAAACAAGCTCCATTTCCTCCTGAGTTACATCTGGTGAAAGATTTGTCACTTTCAGAGTGTATTGCTCTCCTGTAGCTGTAGGACTAGGAGGATTCCATTTGTTGGTTCCAGCTGGTCCACAGTGAGAGTGTCCTCGTGGTGATTCTGTATATCGCACATCTCTTTGTGGAGGCAGAAACGGAGGTGCAGGAGACGCCAAACTTCTTTCAGTGGTAGATCTACGACGTCTCTGCTTCTTCATCAGTGAGTCGACTCAAAATAATCCTCGAAAATTCGAAATTATTCAAATCATAGACCCTAGGGTCTATGTTCAAATTAATGGAATCCGACGAGCGAATAGTTACGTCACACGGGATTATGAATAATGAATATCATTATACAAAGATTTTTATCATGCATGTACAGTAGAATGTATATCTGTGTAAAATGATTTTGAATCAGGAATTGCTGACAAACACTGACAAAATAAAGGGTCATCTGAATTCTAAATTGGACAAGTCGTGAGACTGCGTCCAAAGATCACTCATGATTCTTCAGTAATGATATCTATCTCTCTAACAACAGAATACCAAAGCACAGTGACTATAAAAAATAAAGAGACAGAGAGACAGAGAGAAAGAGATCAACACACTAACCCTATAAATCTACACCATACAATTACTATTGTATTCGTGTACAGTATGTAACATTATAATAATTGCAATGAATTTGGTCGACGACCATGTACTATCTATAGTACATTGGAATGAATACATAAAAATATGCTTGCACATGTATGATGCATGCATACATGTATCTACATGTATGAAAATGGCTTTAATGTTCTTGTAAATGACTTCAAATAATATATTATATACAAATGAACCAAAAAATGCCTTAAGAAAAAATTAAACCAAAAAAAGATCAATGATATTATTGTTCATGGATAGACAATGTGTTGTCAATTATGACAATAAATCTAAGAAAAAGGGACCTATGAAAAAAGTAGTGTAACCAAAAAAAGTCAAAAAAGTTAAAGAAAAATCATAAATCATTGTTCATGGATATACAACAGTAACAGTCCTAACTTCCCAGTTACCCCACCAGCCATGAGAATCTTTATTCCAGTTGAAATGACAGTTTATCCTGTTGCCAAAGTTGTCTTCCACAACAAAATCAACACACTCGAAATCATTATATTTTCCAGAACCATCATACATATATAGTGACGTACTATGCGCCATTAGCATAGCTATTCCCTCATTCCAAGCTTCCTCAACTTGGGCAGAAGTAAGATTTAAAGAGTCATCACAACAATCACAGTGAAGTACATTTTTATCACCAGTGTCACAAGGCATGTCCTGCTTGACCATTTCCTTAGAGTAGTATGTATGGCCTGGTTTAGCAACTCTTATTTTTTCTGTTTGTTTGTATTCAATAAAAGCACCCAACTTATGGCCTTCACTAGAGTGCATCATTGAAACCCACGTCTTATTAGCAAACGCAGATGCACAAAACTTTATTCCCTTGTAATCAACCAATTTAACCAACTTTTGCACATCAGGAAAGACACTGTCCTTGTACTTCAATGCACGGAGTTGATTGCAAGAAGTTGCTGCTTTATCGACAATTTCCACATTGCTACTTATAGCAGAGAACTTTTCAACGGTAACAGTAACTGGTGTACTGGTACTGGTCTCTTCCTTACCCAGCTTAGCTATCCACCTGTGCTCTCCCTCACTGGCAACAGGCACAGTGAAATATAACGGAACTCTTATATCTGAAAGAATCCCTGGTATACTGTTACCAGCGTGGTCTATATCGTGATGAAAATTGTTCCCTTCTGTAGATTTTTTCCATTTACTTGTGTCAAGTATTACTTTACCATCATCCAAAGTGTATATAACAACATTTTCCTGTACGTATCCTTTTATCTGCTCCCGTATTTCATCGTCTGTATCTTCATTGTAGTTGACCGAAACAAATACACTGACCTGCATTGCACCATTAGCATAGACTCTGGTGTCTTGCCTGTCACTGAATTCATCAGTATATATATTTACCAGTATGATCAGGGCCGGATTAAAAGCTGTCATTGTAAACATTTTGTCTCTTTTACACTGGAAAGGTTTATTCCTAACCAGTCCTATCTACTGCAAATGGTCTCATTACTTTTATACGGCAGTAAGAGGAGGAAAGAGGAAGGAAACATGTTCCTCTGATTCATAATTCTCATGGACAAAGAATTGTAAGATAATTCATTTTCTCTATCAGACAAATTAAGCACTAGATTAGTCTGTGACTATACTGTACAGGTCAAACAAACTCTCTTTTATTTACTAAGTTGACACTTCATTAGTCTCTCAGTATAGACTGTGCAAATATCAAAAAGGCAAGGAACCTAGCTCATGGCTATGAGAAACTTAATGCTGTGAGTGTGTCAAAACTCTGTTCAATAAACACTCTTTTATCATTAAATAAATGTATATGCCTTTTAATATAGGCAATGTTTAAAAAAAGGAAATGAATTCCTCATTACCCAACTTAGATCTACATGCATTTACTAATGGCTGCAAATTCTATATTTTGTACCTGCTGTACCTGAACGTGTATTAATCATTGCGTATGGACATTGTGATTTGTGACATACTTGTAAGTACTGTAATTTTGGAGGAGAGTAATTTTGGTGAAGGGCTAAAATTTTGGTGATTGGTGAGCTTTAATTTGGTGGATTTGTGGCCATGTGCCTTTATAATGGTATAAATGGCAGGTTTAAATTTAATTAATTTTGGTAAAGGGCTAATGAAACTAGAGGTGGGTGATGTGATACCAAAGTACTCTGATACCAGGCCTCCAATACCAAGTACTTGATACCAAATCCTAGCATTGAGTAGAGTAGTGACCACACCTACCACACCTTTGACATCACAACGGTCCATTTATAATTTCAAAAATTGTAGCTAATTTTTTTAAATTTTGTTTGGCCAGACTAGTTAATAACTTCTATGCACAGTAGCTGGCTACTCATTCAGTATTTGATACTACCAAAACTGATACTCAGACTACTTGGTATCGGTATCAATTCCAAATTTCTTCTATTGTCCACCTCTAATTTAAACTCCAAATTTGCCAAAAACTATCCACTTCAAAATTACCCACTATATTAAAAGCAACATTGACAAAACTAACAACTTATTAATTTTAGCTAGACTAAACAATGTGTGAATATGTCTGGCTCATCACAAAATAAGAGAATAGCTCACCACTCCTGATAGACACAAGTGTGCATGCAGTGTGCACTTTTCCTCACAACAGAGTTTTAATTAGCAACTGAAGATACATGTAATTCAAAATCAGCATGCAGTGCTATACTTAATATTGTTTCATATTGTGGCAATGTACACATTTTGTTTATAATAATTATTTTAATTTTTTGACTGACCATTTCCCAAGGCTCCTCCTTGGTACTCTTATAACAGGCTACAGCAGCAGTGGAGGGGTTGTGAGAATGGATATGATCCTTTCCTAAGAAATTTACAAGTAGCACACATGTAATGATGTAATAAGCAAAAGATGAGAGAATTTTCTACACACTCTCCTGTATAACTCTCACCCAAATTACTTGTCAATATAGGCTGTCAGTTAACATTCTGTCATTATCCTATTAGGTACAGTGTATAAAAAATTAATAATGAAGCATACATGGACATACAGTATACATACAACAACCTACATGTACATTGTAAAATGAAAATGTGAGTGAAAGTTATGCAATTAGGGGACTCAGGGCTTCCCTAGTCAGGCGTGGCCACCTAACTAGGGTTTTCCACAAAGCATGCTAAGGGAGCTGACAAGCACTGCAATACACTAGCTACATGGAGCAGCTTTAGGATTTCAAATTGAATTGGAATCAGCTCAGTATCAGAATCAATGGTAGTGAGTACTGAATGAGCTACTGTGCAGTGTGCATGTGCAAATTAATTATCAAGGAAACACCATTATAAATTATAAAAGGGTGTATATTACCCCATTATGACATGTGGTAAGGCATGGTCATTTTATTCTATTTGATACCAAAATTTAGTATTGATTCCTGGTAATAGATAATTAGTTATTGGTTTGCCCACCATTATTCTACATTGCTTGTGAATATGTAACAGCTATATTCAATTAATTAATAACTTTTAATTAGGAAAAAGGCCTAAATATATTATTAACAGGTTATAGAGTTATGTAATTATCTTCAATGTATGATTCAAGGGTATACAACTGTAACAGAAGAAACAGCCCAAAATCCCCAATAGTCACCAACATCCCAGTTAATTCCAACTTTCATCCTGCAACCGAAGGTGTCTTCAATTACAAAATCATTCATCAAATAATCATAATCATACCAACGATAATCACCATAGAATTGCCGATACAACCTTACAGACCAATCACGCACCTGCACCATAAGTATTCCCTCATTCCAGGCCTCCTTAATATAGTAAGGATCAAACTCTAAGGTGTTGTCTAAGCAGCTACAAACAACCTTGTTATAAACGCCACTGTTCTCACCAAGATCATGTTTCTCCATTTGGTCTGGCAAGTGTTGATCCCCAGAATTGGCTATTTTGATGTTACTCGTAACTCCATATTCAACAAAAACACCCAACTTGTGTCCTTTGGTAGACTTTGACATTGAGACCCATGAATTGCCACCTGATCCAAAGAACTTCATTCCTTTGTACTCGACTAATTTAACCAATTTCTGTGCATCTGGTAACACATCATCGTTGTACTTCAGCACGTACATCAAATTACAATGAATAGATGTGTCTTTTTTGTTTGCAAGTATTAGATCACCTTTAGAAACATGGAATGATTTAACAGTGATAGTAAGTGGTGTATCATCATTGGTCTGCTTGCCATCCAGCTTAGCGATCCACCTGTGCTCTCCTTCAGCAGTACAAGCTGGTACAGTAAAATATAACAGAGCTCTTACATCTGAAATCATTTTAGGAGGCCTTGATACATTTCTGTTAGTAGCATGGTCTATATCGTGATGATAACCATTATCAATTGTAGATCTTTGCCATTGAACATTTTCTCCATAATTCAATGAATATATATCGACATTATCTTGCACGTATGCTATTATATCTTCTTCACTTGCTTCTCGATTGTAGTTGACTGAAACAAATACACTGACCTGCATCACACCATTATTATAGACACTGATGTCATAGGAGGAGGAAAGAAGAAGAAACATGTTCCTCTGATTTATAATTCTCATGGACCAAAAATATATATTGTATAATAATTCATTTTCTCTATCAGACAAATTAAATACTAGATTAATCTGTGACTATACTGCATAGGTCAAACAAACTCTCTTTTATTTACTAAGTTGACACTTTATTAGTCTCTGAGTATAAATTGTCCAAATATCGAAAAGACAGGGAGCCTGGCCCATGGCTGTGAGATACTTAATGCTGTGAGTGTGTGAACACTCTTTTTAATGAACATACTTTTATCTTAAATAGTTTAATAAGCAATGCAAATTCAATTCCTGATTACCCAACTTAGATCCATTATGCATGTACTAATGGCTGTAAATTCTACATTTGGCAAATGTGCATGCTTATAATCACTACATATGGACACTGTGAATTTGTGACATACTTGTAAGTACCGTATACTGTAAAAATAGTAAAAACTGTATCAAAATAGCTTAAACTTTGTATAAAACAGAAATACATGTATATGCATCAGAAAAAAATTATAAAAGTGGAGAATTCCTTCCTTTTCATTTTTGGTGAAATTTGGCCAATGACTATGTACTAGTACAGGGACATACTTTGGTCTGATTTTGGAGCAACTTTAAAAATTTGTAAAAAATGAATTGTAATTCGAATAAGCTCAAATTACCTTTCTAAAGACATGTTACGATACACATTGATGTCCTAATGCTACATAGAAGTTAGAGTTGATTCTGACAAATATTTTTTGAGTATAGAGGTGGGACAAAAGTCAAATTTTAGCATTCAAACCATACATGTTCATAAATTTTACCATACATGTACCTTAGTGTAATGGCACTACTATATATATATAGTGTATAAAAGCATTAAAATTTTTTATTTCATATATAGTGGGACCCTTTTATTCAGCACACCGAGATACTTCAATAGTGATTGAAGATGACATAAATAAGATGCAACTATACATTGCTATATGGCACTAATGAATGTGTACATCTAGTGTAAGCTATATTGATGCTAGTTAATTTCAATAATTAAATTTATTAAGAAAATTGTTGCATAATAGCAAAGTTAGTAAACAAAAAGGCCTAAAATAAATAAAGGTAATAATTTTTTGTAGCAAACAAAAAGGCCTAAATCAAATTAAAGTAGTAATTAGTGTAGCAAAATTAGTCAAAAAAGGCCTAAATCACTTTAAATTAATAATTCATGTAATATTAGTTCTGTGAGTATATTTCAAGGATGCACAACTTTAGCATCTGTAACTTTCCATGTTCCCCACCAGTCACCTGCATCCCAGTTAAGTTTGACCTCCACCCTGCCACCAAAGTTGTCTTCAAATTCAAAATCATTCGTCTCAAAGTTATGATCAAGAAACATATTGGAGCTTTCGAATGCTTCGCATGCAATTGAAGTAGACGAATCATGAATCATTACCATAGCTATTCCTTCATTCCAGGCATCCTCAATGTCAGTGGAATCAATATTTGCGGTATTGTCTAAACTATCACAAATGGGAACAATCCTATAAATACATTCATAGGAATCCAAGTTCTTTTTTACAACTTTGTTTCGATCATAAAAATGATATTCAGTGGCTATATTTATGCTACTTGTTTCTCTGTATTCAATAAAAACACCCAGCTTATGGCCCTTGCTTGACATTGCCATTGAGACCCACGAATTAGCACTAGTTCCAGTAAACTTCAGTCCTTTGTATTCGATACTTTTCACCAATTTTTGTGTATCTGGGAACACACCCTTCTTGTACTTCAGTGCACGCAATACAATTCCACTCAAGCTGGCTATCTCTGAAATCTCAAAATCATCTTCAGAAACACTAAATAGGTTAACGTTAACAGTTAGTGGTGTACTGTCACTGGTCTGCTTGCCATCCAGCTTAACGATCCACCTGTGCTCTCCTTCAGCAGTACCAAACGGTACAGTAAAATATAACGGAGCTCTTATATCTGAAATCATTTTAGGAGGCATTGGTGCGTTCTTGTTAGCAGCATGTTCTATATCGTGATGAAAACCGTTATCAGTCGTAGATCTTTGCCATTGAACATTTTCTCCATAATTCAATGAATATATATCGACATTATCTTGAACGTATGCTATTATATCGTCTTCACTTGCTTCTCCATTGTAGTTGACCGAGACAAATACACTGACTTGCATCACACCATTATTATAGACACTGGTCTCTTGCCTGTCACTGAATTGATCAGCATATATATTGACCAGTATGATTAGGGCTGGGTCAATAGCTGACATTGTATACATCTTGTGTCTTTTACACTGGAAAGGTTTATTACTCACCAGTCCTATCTACTGGAAATAGTCTCATTACTTTTATACAGTAAGAGGAGGAAAGAGGAAGGAAAAATGTTCCTCAGATTCATAGTTCTCGTGGACAAAGAATTATATGATAATTCATTTTCTCTATCAGACAAATTAAGCACTAGATTAGTCTATGACTATACTGTAAGGTCAAACAAACTCTCTTTTATTTACTAAGTTGACACTTTATTAGTCTCTGAGTATAGATTGTCCAAATATCAAAAAGACATGGAGCCTGGCCCATGGCTATGAGATACTTAATGCTGTGAGTGTGTGAACACTCATTTTAATAAACACTCTTTTATCATAAAATACATGTACATCATAGTTCTGCCTATGGTGGTTGGGGGTGGTCGGGACAACCACCTCAACAAATGAATGAACCAGTTCATCAATTAGACCAACCATCCAATTAGTACTAATAACCATACATAAAGCATGATACTGTAGTCTAAAAGGAACAATATTAGTCTCCAACCACCTCTAATTTTTTTCTAGGCAGAACCCTGGTACATGTAGTTTAATATAGGCAGTGTTTTAAAAATTGACACTAATTCCTCATTACCTAACTTAGATAATATACTAGTGCTAATGCCTGCAAATTCTACACTTTGAACCTACTGTACTTGTATTAATCATTACGCATAGACATTATGAGTTTGTGAATTGTGACATACTTTTAGTACTCTATATATGGGTGATTTTGGACGAGAGTAATTTTGGCAAATTTCTAACATTTTGGTGATTGGTAGGTTGTACATGAAATTTGGTGAATTTGTGACCATATGCCCTTGAGCATGTACATATTGGTACAAACTGTCTCGTTTAATTTGGCAAAGGGCTATATTGAAACTCTAAATTTGCCAAAATTTATCAAACACCTCGTTACAACAATGTTGACAAAACTATAGCCACTAATTAATTTTAGCTAGACTAAACAATGTGTGAATGTGTCTGGCTCATTTTACAAAAGAAGAGAATAGCTCACTACTCCTGATAGACACAAGTGTGCATGCAGTGTGCACTTTTCCACACAACAGAGTTTTAATTAGCAACTGAAGGTACATGTAGTTCAAAATCAGCATGCAGTGCTATACTTAGTATTATTTCATTGATTGTAGTAGCAATGCAATGTACATGTACACATTTTGTTTTTGTTTTAAATATTTTAATTTTTGACTGACCATTTCCAAAGGTTCCTTTTTGGTGCTCCTATAACAGGGTACAGCAGCAGTGGAGGGGTTGTGAGAATGAATATAATCCTTTCCTAAGAAATTTAGAAGTAGTACACATGTAATGATGTAATAAGCAAAAGATGAGAGAATTTTCTACACGCTCTCCTGTATAACTCTCACCCAAATTACTTGTCAATATAGGTTGCCATTTGCTATGAAATGAAGACAATGATCACTGTCAGTCCTAACATTCTGTCATTATAATCCTATTAGGTACAGTGTATAAAATATGAAGCATAGAGGTATACAGTACATCTAACAACCTACAAGTTAAATGCAAAAGAAAATGTTATGCATTTAGGGGTACTCAGGGTTTCCCACAAAGCATGCAATGGGAGCTGACAAGCACTGCAATACACTATATGGCATTTGAAGCAACTTCAAAAATTCATAAAAGTTTAAATTCGATCGGATTCAGCTCAAAGTTGATGCACAACATAAGAACATGTATAAGCATGAGAAAAAGTTATAAATAATGAAATTCACTTCTAGCCAGTTTTG